CCGATAAAGGAGTTGGTCAATCTAAAATGGTGGAAATTGAGAAGGAGGACAACTAAGAAAAGAAGGATGATGAAAGTAAAAAATAAGATGATGGTATTACATTAGAGTGGAGAACCTCAAAGGATCATCCTATTGATAATATTATTGGTGATATCACCAAATGGGTAATAACGCGCTCTAAGATAACTAATTTTTGTTATCACCACATGTATGTATCACAAGTTGAACATAAAAATTCTAAGGATGTCTTACTTGATGAGTATTGGCTTATGTCTATGCAAGAAGAATTGAATCAATTTGAAACAAATGACGTTTGGGACCTTGTGCCTCATCCACAAAATCATCAAGTTATAGGCACTCAATGGGTATTTAGGAATAAACTTGATGAACATGGTGTGATAACCCGAAATAAAGTCCGTCTTGTGGCTCATGGGTACAACCAAGAGGAAGACATTCATTATGAGGAGACTTATGCTCTAGTTGCCCGACTCGAGGCTATACGCCTTTTATTAGCATGTGCATTCTCTAAGAACTTCAAATTATATCAAACGAGTGTTAAAAGTGTGTTCCTTAACGAAAACATAAATAAAGAGGTGTATGTTTCACAACCTCCCAGTTTTGAAAATTATGAGTTTCCTAATCATGTTTTTAAGCTAAAACATATTTTGTATGGTCTTAAACAAGCCCCAGGGGCATGGTATGACCGACTTAGAAAGTTATTGCTTGATCAAGGATACTCTAGAGGAAAGGTAGACACTAAACTATTTATTAAACATCAAGGAAAACACATTTTACTTGTTCAAATTTATGTTGATGATATCATTTTTGGATCAACTAACATGCATCTTTTCATGGAGCTCTCTAAGCTTATGCGGGGAGAGTTTGAAATGAGTCTAATGGGGGAGTTAAACTAATTTCTTAGATTAAAAATTAAGCAGCTCGGTGAAGGAAATTTTGGATTTTGAAACCAAGTATTGTCTCGAATTACTTAAAAGATTCGACATGGACGGTGCAAAGGAAATTGACACACCTAAGGCAACAAATGACAATTTTGATAGAGATGAAAAGGGTAAGGATGTTGAGGTCAAAAAGTATAGAAGTATGATTGGATCTCTTATATATCTTACTGCATTTAGGCCTGATATTATGTTTAGCATTTGTATGTGTGCATGACATCAATCGGCTCCAAAGGAATCACACTTAAAAGCGGTTAAGCGTATCCTTAGATACCTTATAGGTTCCTCTAAGTTTTGGCTTTGGTATTCTAAGGGAAACAATTGTAGCTTGGTTGGGTACTCTGATTCTGATTTTTCCAGTTGCAAATTGGATAGGAAAAGTACTAGTGGAACTTGTTACATGTTTTCAAAATCCTTGGTTAGTTGGCATAGCAAAAATTAAGTTTTCGTTGCTTTGTCAATGGTCGAGGCGGAATACGTGGCTTCTGGTAGTTGTTGTGCCCAAATTTTGTGGCTTAAACAATAATTACTTAATTCTGATATTAAACTTACATTTATTCCTATCATGTGCGACAATACTAGTGCTATTAATCTACCAAGAATCGTGTGCTACATTCTTTCACTAAACATATCGAGATATGTCACCACTTCCTTCGCAATCATGTTGAAAAAGGGGATGTTGCGTTCGAGCATGTTGATAGTAAAAATCAACTTGCCGATATTTTCACTAAACCTCCTGCAACGAAATCACTTATCAACATACGTGGGGAATTGGGGATCATCGATATCTCTAATGTTGCTTAATTCTATCTTGTTGCTTGCACTTTATACTTTCACTTTAACTCTTTGTTTGAGTATTTTACATCACGTGAGTACAACTTCCGTTCCATCAAGAGTGAAGTAATATCGTTTCAATTTCTCCTTGAAAGTAAGATTTGCCTTAATGCATGTTACTTGTTCATTTCTAAAAATGCTTGATATTCTGTCAAATGGTGAAAACCATGAATGTTCATTTCCAAAAAAAATTTATTGATAACCATTTTGTGTGCTCAATCCATATGCTTATAATGATTTTATGTATTAATTCTTTCACGTTTGTATAAGTTTGTTCTAGTTGTGCAAGCATGTGTTTTCATTTTAACCTTACTTGCATTCATGCTTGAGTTAATTATATGTGCGTTTGTTGCAATATGTGTTTCATCTTGTATTTGGTCACATGTTATGACATCTTCATTTTAGTTTAGAAGTGACATATTTTTGTCGCTATGCTAGACACACGCGTGTGCGGCATCAGGAGTTCTATTATGATGTGTTACGTAATTGTGACGCTATAGATGCAACTTAAAAAGTTTGCTCTTACTTGCATTCTTTATTTTTTATGCATTTACATTACATATGTTATAATGTTGTTTTCCAGTTATTTATTAATTTCGCAACATTACATATATATGGAGATATGTGATCGTTGGTCTTCTATGCAAAAATGCCTCTAAGTGATATATTATTATTTGTTTTGGAACATATTACTTCTCATAGTTTGCTCTCTTTCTTTTTTATGTTGTCAAAGGGGGGATAAGCATATGCGAGATGAAGTTAGGAAGCACACAGTCAGAGGGAGTCTTCGATAACTACATGAAATGCATCGTCGCAATATTTGTCATCATCAAAAAGGGGGAGTATGTTAGTAACTTCACCATTAGATGTTTTGTATGATGCCAAAACTAGGAAAAATTATCATTTCTGTATATTAGACGGTATCTTTATGTCTTGTGGCACTCCTTTGCATTAGAGGTCTTACGAACCATTAAAAACCTCTTTGAAATTGATCTAAGTCATGAAAAACAAGTTTCTGCATAAATTTTTATTGTATGTGTCGACACATACATAATTCAGATCGACACATGCAACTCAGTTTTGCAGCCTGTAGCTTCTGGAAGGCTCGGGTCGACACATGCATCATACAGGTCAACACATACTGAAGCTTTTTTGTAATTGCATAAAAATTTATTTTATGTGTCAACACATACAAATTTCAGGTCAACACATTTATTGTTGTTTTAAAGTTTGTAGCTTCTGACTTGTTCCGGTAGACACATTCATATTTTCAGGTCGACACATACAGCTGAAACTTGACGTATGTGTTGACACATACCATTTTCAGGTCGACAAATATTGTTTATTTAGGTCAATTTTTTAATTCTTTTTAATTTTGAAAATCTCCTTTTTTGCATATAAACCTCCTCAACTATAAATACATCATTTATGCATCGTTCATGCATCATTCAAACTTGATGATACGATAAAAATTTCCTGTAATTTCACTTCACCTTCAACCTCCAACCTATGCATACACACTAATAAATCATCGTAATAACCTTTTGTTGTAGTGGCATCTAGACGGGGTTCGATAATGTCCAATTAGGTTCTTATGTAGCCGGGAATATTGGGTTGATATTTGCATGAGTCTTCATCTGGAAAAACCGCGGATATGTCCTCTAAGGTCATTGATTGATTTGAAGGTTTTCGTGCAATACGTAAAAAGAGGATTGTGGCCTAGTGAAAGCCTTTGAAGATAAAGAACGCAAAGGATCCTTTGGAGATCAAGAATGCAAAGGAAGTAGCGTGAGAACAGAGAATCAAATTGAAGTCTTGTGTTGCAATAGTTAAAATGGATGGTGCGTGAAAGCTTTATAGATAAAATATGCAAAAGAGTAGCAAGATCCAAATAATCAATTTACAGCTATTGTGTCTATGTCTTTCTCAAGATCAAAAGAAGAGAATGGATTGAATCAACAACAAACGTTAGAATTTGTGGAGTTTCTCTTTGAACACTTCTCTTGTATCAAACTTTTTGCATAGTAAGAATTATCCTAATTTCATTGGAATTAGGCGTAGATGTACCCACACGCGAAGAGGATAGTGAGAAACTATAAAGACAAATCCTCGTGTCTTTTTTTCGTATTGTTTTACTTGCTTTATTTTTTATCAATCAATTTGTTTAATAGCATTGCGTAATCGATTGACTTGTAGGAATTTTTCTTAACTGTTTTTGTTTTGAATCAAGCGTTGATATCGCTTATAATCACTTTTGATTATAAGTGATTTTTTATCAACATACATCAAAGAAAAATTCTAAAAATTCAATTACACACCAAATATTCGACAAATTATTTTGTTAATTCTTTTGATAATTGTCATTTGAAAAAATATTACTATAAACAATTGATAATTTGTTACTTTGAGTAACTCGCCATACACGTTTAAACCCTTTCTTGTCCTTTGTTCGGTTCGGGCAATGACTATTTTATCATAGATCATTTTTTATTCAAACCTAAATAAATCATCTCAATCCACTAACTATCGCAGATCTAAATTTTATCAGAAACTTGGTTTCATATAGAGATGCTCACGACAACCATGCTCTACCTAAACAGAACATATGGCAGAGTTTCAGAGCACACAGTGCAATGTGTAAAAACTTACACATGGGAAGTGACAACAAAGCTCAAGACAACAAGAGTTCATGCAATATTCTTTTAGATGCTTCGTGTCAGCGAAGTTGGAACAGAGTAATTAAAAGCACCACTTATCCATATGCATTAGTATAATGTCAAAATTGAATATTCTTGTTGTTACATTCCTACTCAATATTTCTTTTGTTACAGTTCAAATTGAAGTTGACTCTGATATTCAATTGTAACTTCTTTTATTTTATCATTTTAGTATCTTTCATTACTTATCAAGTTACCATTAAAGTGCATATACCTCCATTGGAAACACAACATGAAACAGTATATATTTCTATATTACATTTACAACTCACACACTACTTACTATTACTGTACATTACATTTACAACTTCCACACTATTTACCATCACTATACATTATAAGAGGTTTGTTTAGCTACCTAAAAACATGCTAATATGACTTCAAGCAAGCAACTATACCTACTTGTTTTTTTACAGGTCTGTAAGCAAACTAAACTAGGAAATTTAAAAGAACACAAAAGTAAGACCCAAACCAAGTTCACCATTTAAGTGATTCAAATGGTTTGTCCAACCAAACCACTAGCAGATCCACCCCAAGCCACTGGTTTACTAATCAAATCCTCTAACTCAAGATAGATATTAGAGTCATTCACGTCCATTTCTTCATCAACTACAGAGTTTTCACTCAATAGTTTCTCTGACATAACATGATAAGCAGAAGAAACATCTTGCACATTTTGTCTAGAATCACCACAAGCCCTCATTTCATGTAAAGAGCTAACAAATCCATCCTCCAATGTATCCGAAACCGGTGCTTCCATTCTACCAATGTTCACATTTTCAGTAAAAAGTCCATTCAATTCAGTTTGCAAACTATCAAACTGTTCCCGACCTTGAGGCCTATAATCAACACCAGTACCTTGTGTTCCAAGTAATCTAGGCCTTTTAACCATATCTATACTACCATCAACCTCTTTTTTCCGCTTCATCTTTTGAATTAACTGATCCATAAAAACCGGCTTTCTAGCCATTTTGGTGAGGAAATATATCATTTGATATTGCTTCATCTCAGCACGCCGAACCCGCTCATTAACATTTGTGAGTTGGATATTTGAATTCTCTTGTTGCTGCCTTAGCTTCAGAATTTCCAATTTCAACATGTTCTGATCCTTTTTCAGTTTCTCCACTTCAGATTCAACACCAGGTGTCATCAAATTGAAACCTCCTTGATGTAGTTTGTTATACTTACTTCTCCTTCTTATATTCTTCAACAAATGCTTCTTCCCTCCTTGAAATCCTTCATTCGCAAACTCCCATCGGTCTGAATCAATCTTCCTAAACCCCTGCTTGTGAACAGATTCATAAAAATCAATTCATGAAAATTGTAAAAATTCAAAAAAAAAAAATTAATTCAAATCAAAATCAATTCTAGTAAATAAACATAATCCTAACTCAATTGACATATGTCATTAAATACTAGGTTGGACGCCATCTCTAGAGTTGAAACTCTAGATATTCAGGGTTGTGTGACAAAAGCCAAACTAGTATTATTAAGTTGGACTACTCTGATATTCACGATTGTGTATGAGTTTTTAATGATTATCCGAGCAATACTGACACAAGCCGTCAGTATTGCTAGATTGAATATCATCCTCAAAGTTGGAACTCTGATATTCAGAGTTATATGTAAATTTCTAATGATTATTACCTTCTTCCAAAAAGATTAAAATATGAAGATGTTAGAATTTTTAACTTACATAGGTGTTGAGCTGGCGAATGAAGCTAGAGAAATTATTGTGCTTAAAATATTTGGGAAGAAGAGTTTTGGAGAATTCATGATAATCCCAAACAATGAAACTATCACGAGAATCACTCCACGAAACAATCGTGTCAGTTTCGGGATCCTCCACCATTTCATACGTCTTCTTAAGAAACGGCGGTGGACCAACCTCATGCAACCCCGCCATCGGTTTCGGAAACTCCATCGAAGACGAAGCGTTAGCACCGTCGTCTTCAGCAACTTCTTCTTTGATGTGAATAGCGTGAGAAGCTGTAGCACCTTCTTCTTCGGTTACTACTGAGTCTTTTCTTTCGCTTAAAACGTCGTCGTAGCCAGGTGAAGTTGAACCGGCACTGTCATCGAATAACTCTGCTTTTACTGATGGGATTAGGTTTGACCTGACGCCACCGATTTCACCGTCGCATCCACCGTAAGCCACCGCCATTTTTGGTTATTTGTTTATTTTGAGGAGTTCGGTGTTGCTCTGCTTTGCCGCTTGAGTGTCTGTTGTCTGTGATGTAGTCGTAGAGATGTGAATGTCTTTGGGGGAAAGTGTTACACGTTAACGTTCGGTTCTATTTATAGATGTTGAACAAATATAATTAAATTTAGAAAGAATTCTGTTAAATTACTTCGAATTTTAATTTAATTTTAAAACTATTAAATATTAAATATATTATTTAAATAACTTTTTTTTCTAAAATTTACTTTTCATTAATATAATCAAGATAACACAGACATTCACATTAAATTGTGCCGTTACTTATGACAAAACTAATTTTTTTTAAATAGTTTTTAAATAAATTAAATAAATATTATTTTTTTAAAATATAAATTTAATTTTAAATTATTATATATCTTTATTTTTATTTTCAAAATATCTTGGACCGGTCAAATTAATTTTATATTGATTGTGAAACCACGTTAAGGATATATATATATATATATATATATATATATATATATATATATATATATATATATATATATATATATATATATATATATATATATATATATATATATATATATATATATATATATATATATATATATATATATATATATATATATATATATATATATATATATATATATATATATATATATATATATATATATATATATATATATATATATCAGAAATAGTAATTGAAATTGATTGAAAGCAGAATTATAAGTATTTTGTGGTAGAAAGAAAGCAGAACATATATATAAAAAGTTTGTTATATTTGAAAATTTTGTGCTTATAAAAGAAATAAAAATTTCTTTATATATGGATGTAAAGATTTACTATTTAAGTCAGTAATAGCTAGTTATGATAGTCAGTTAGAACAAACAAAGATAAATTATTAATGTCGGATACACATTGAGCCCCATCGACACAAAAATAATTCACAAACAACAAAAAACTTTTAAAGTAGTTTGAAGATTCTTTTTTATTGTTTCAATATAAGATTCTCTCTTATCTTTGTGTTTAGCATTATTGCTTCTGGATAATTCTTGCAATTGATTTGTCTCTTGTCATAGCTTTATTGTCAATAAGATTCTTTTTTATTGTTTCAAGATAAGATTCTTATCTTTGTGTTTGGTATTATTGTTTCTGGACAATTCTTGTCATTACTTAGTCCCTTGTCATAGTTTTAGCTTTGGCTTTTTCTTTAGTCTTTTGGACCATAGATTGAATCATAACATCCCAGAAGTCTTCAACTGTGAGATCATCATTTTGAGCTTCTCCAACTAAATCTTCAAAGGTGTTGGAATCTATTGATCCCATTGATGAACTGGTCTTCATGGATTGCATATCATATTGGAAAGTGTAGAAGAATTGAGTCTTCATATAATCTAAAGTCCTGACCATAATTTCTTCTTCTGTTTCGTTGGGATACTTTCTTTGAATAAAGTTTTTCAGGTTTCCTATAGACATTCGTTATGAGTTTTGATCTCTAACATTGTTATTTTTGTCTTCACTCATGGTTGATTTGATTAGAACAATTTTGTCCTAGATGTCTTCTAAACTCATTTTATTTCACCATTTATAAAAAAAAAATCTTTTTAGAATTGGGACATTAAACTTGTCACTGGAAATAGTGATAGTCCATCTCCAAATCCAAGGAATTTGAAACTTAGTGAAGAAAAGAAATGGACATTGTCCAGTTATCAAATTTAATGAAATATTTAACACTAGTGGACTATTTTTGCACCAAGGAGTATACAATTCATTTAATTCTTTTGGCAAAATTTTCAACGTAGGACCAAATTTAATCCACCAGGCATAAAACCAATTTGAAATGGGTCTATTAATCACGTCTGGATTAATTGAGAAAAACCAAGAATGTTTATTCTTAGGATTTTGGTAATAAAAGGCTTGGGTGAAAGCCTGGACATAGTCTCAATAACTGAAATAAATATATTTTCTTTCGGAAATTCTTATTTCCTTTTCACCATTAGGGTTAAGACCCCATTCTCTAGGGGATAAAATCTTATTAATGTGGCATTTACTAAAGTTTATGAAACTTTCAGGATTGTTATTTTGATAATGATGAGTAAAAGTTGTTGATTAAGTAACTACTAGTAATATTTCTAAATGTGGTCTTGATTTACCATGATGGCCTGGATATCCTCTTGATTCGAGGTATATTGTTTTGATAGCCCATTCATCATTTGGATTTATTTTTATATCCTCATCATCAATATACATAATTTTTTCTGTAACTGGATTCTCAAAATAATCAGTTACTTGTTCTTGAGGGGGGTCATTGACCATAATTTCTTTGTAAGATATAATATTTTTAAAAGATGAAGAGGAAGGTATATCTTCCTTTTTTGAGGTAGGTAATTGTTGCATATTTTTACCTTTATAGACTCTAGTGCAATCCCCTATAAGGGAAAAGTTTAATTCACTTTGGGGTAACATATTGTTACTCCTTCTTCCAAGGTCTCGTCCATAACCGCGGTCTCTTCCTCTCCTAGATAGGGGTGTCATTCTTTCCCTATAAAAATTCACGGATGAGGTAATCAGCAAGTGAATTATTTTCACATTTAATATGTTTAATATCAAATTCAAACATTGATAGTTGAGATTGCCAGCTATCAAATATTTGTTTTACAACAACATTTTTAACATCTTTTTCAATAATTGATTTAGCAGGGTTGCAAACAATTTGTAATAAAAAAAACTTATTAAGTAAATCATCTTGAAATTTTGAAACACATTTTATAATAGAAAAAATTTATTTTTTAATGGTCGAATATTTTGACTGAGTAGGATTCCATTTACCAGAGGTAAACCTAACCAAAACTTCTTTAGATGTTTCAGGTATAACCTATTTTAGAATTCTTCCATATCCTAAGTCTAAAGCATCAGTTTCAATGATTTTATAATACTTGGGATTAGCCAGAGATAAGGAAGGCAAATATTTAACCTTATTTTTAATTCTTCAGACTGCTTGATAATGTTTATCAGTCCAAGGGTCGGGATTTTTTCTAAGCCTAGCATGTAATATACCAGTATCATTGGCAAGATTCTCATAGTAATCGGAAATATAATTAAGACTGCCAAGAAATCTTTGTAATTGTTTCTTATCAGTAATGATATCAGGAAACTTAGAAGCAAATTCAATACTTCTTTGAATAGGAATAATAGTTCCTTGATCAATTTCATGGCCTAAAAATCTAACTTTAGTCTGAAATATTTTCATCTTAGGAGCTAATATAACTAATCCATTATGCTTAATTAAACTCTTAAATGTTTTTAAATGTTTCATATGTTGATCAATTGTTTTAGAAAAAACTAAAACATCATCAATGTAAACAATTATGAATTTCGTATAAGGAATAAAAATATCATTCATAATATTTTGAAATTCGGAAGGGGTGTTCTTTAGCTCAAACAGGAGGACATTCCATTCGAAATGTCCAAAAAGCACAGTGAAGTCCGTTTTATATTTATCAGATTCATTAATCTAAATTTGCCAATAGTCAGATTTCATATCGAATTTAGAAAAGATTAAAGCAGTGTTTAATCTATCTAATAAATCATTTTTATTATGAATAGGATATCTAATCCATTTCAACACCTTATTAAGGGGTTTATAACTGATAACAAGTCTAGGGACGCCACATTCTTTTTCAGCAGCATTATTAACATAAAAAGCAGTGCAACTTCAAGGAGATTTAGATTTTCTAATTAAACCTTTCTCTAAAAGAGAATTTATTTCTACTTTACATAGGTTTAAATACCCATGATTCATCTGGGCTGGTATGGCTTTAGTGAGAATTTGACTTTCATTAAAGTCATCAAGATAAGGTAAAGAAATAACATGTTTCTTTCTATCCCAAAAAGCGTTTGGCAAATTATTGCAAACTTCATCTTTAAACTGTTGATCAATTAATTTGATTTGTCTTTTTATCTCAACTTTATTAAGTTGTTCATTAATATTTAATAAACTAACTTCTTCTTTAAGAAAACCTAATTGTTTTTCTTTATTTAAGAGAATACTTTTGACCTCATTAAGTATTTTAATATGAGGATCAGTAATGAATTCAAAAGTGGCATTCTTACCATTAATCATGGTGGTGATGTCTTTAGTGTCAACATTTATTAAAGGCATAATACTATTTAAAAAAGGAGTTCCAAGAATAATCTTGTGAGTCATGTTTTTAACTAATATGAGATGGGTAGGTAAACAAATATCTTGATTGCAAACGTAGGTATTAGGTAATTTATAATTAACCTTTAATTTGTGACCACTAGCCTGAGCAAGGGTTTTAGTGGTTTTGGTATAATATTTGGTAGGATCAATTCCTCCTTGAAGACAATTAAGGTCAGCGCCACTATCAATAATGACGACTTTATTCTGTAATATAAACGTTCTGTTAATAACTAAAGTTATTCTAACAAATCATTTTTGAGAAATTACTCTGTCAATAAGAGTGAGAAATCTATCGTTAGTGGAAAGACTACTAGTAGAAGATATTTCTTCAACTTTAGGGGTACCCGTTTCAAGCAAGGAAACCCTTTGATATAATTTTTTATTATCCTTCTTTATCTGAGTAATTTCAGATTTCAAAAGATTAATTTCTCTATTTAAATCCGTAAGGGAAACATGAGTTTCACGGATATGAGACTGTTGAAATCTGGATAAAATCTCACTTAATTGGTAAGGGGCTTCAATAATAATAGGAGACTCTTTTTTAGAGTTTTCTTGAATTAAAATGTCAAGCATTTTTCTTTTAAGATTATTATCAGAAATAGACTCAATAGCTTTTATAGCTTCATCTTATTCTGTAGTAAGAACATTAAGATTGTTCATGTCAATAATATACTTCCAATAATCTATTTGATTACATTGGCAATTATTATTGTCAGAACTATCAGAGGAATAATCTGATGATGATTCATAGATCATGTCAATATCTTCATTAGAAGAATTGGTTTCTGAG